TTTTTCCCGGAACCAGGGATTGAATTCAGGCCCTTGTGCTTGCCAGGGAAGTGCTTAATCCACTGAGCCATCTCCCCAGCCCCTCGACAGCAATATTGATTAAAGCAATTTAGCATTTGATTTTCTTATTTATAAAAGCCCCTTTCCATACATTGCTTAATTTAATTTTCACAGTATCACTGTAATGCATTTTACAAGTGGGGAGAGTATCTATGACCCCAAACTTCAATCTTCATTCGCTTTGCCTCTGAAAACTTCCCACAAAAGAGATTTGTGTGCTTCCTCACCCAGCTAGGCTCCAAGAATCCGCTTTAACAGTTAAAAAGATGCCAAAAATGATGCTGAAAGCTCAATTTAATATCCTTGATTACAGACATTTTTCTTAAGCGTTTTAGCAGGAGAAGCAGCACTCCAACCCCAGAGATGCCAACTGCAGGCCAAGGGTGTTCCTAGTCAAGTGCAAGTGAGGAGGGGCAATTGGGATGAGGACCGAGGGAGGGATGGTGGCGAAGGGGTGGGTGTACATACATGACAGTTGTTGGAGAAAAGGGTAAATCTTAGAGTACTTCTTTAAAATTTTTTTAAGTGAGGATTAATCAAATGATCAGCAAATTTCAGATTGATGACATTTTATAGAGTAAAGGGAAATAGGACAGGTTATGTTGTTAATAGAGACGATCACGTTATGCACATACTCCATTTGTTTCTATGCATGAAGGGCAGGAAGTGAAGGAGAACAGGGCAGCTGAAAGCCGGGTGGGTTTGTCCTTTGTTTCCTTTGAAGAGCCAGGGTAGAAGGAATCAACAATAAGCTGCAGCTGAGGACAAATCATAGAAAAAATAGTTGCCATCAAACTGGTCAATTCGCAGATACACAGTGATGAGTACTGCATGTTTTAGCAAACAAGTTATTTCCAGACCCCCGAAAGAAAAGTCATAGTGTGTCTATTTTTCTATTACCGATGATGAAATTAAGACGGAAAAAAGTAAAGGAAGTTGCCTAAGGTGCTGCACAGATGTGTAGAAGAACCAGCAAACCGTGACCTGTAATAAATGGTGGACTAAAGAAGGCTCAGAAGAGGACAATAAGCTCCAGGAGACTGACATGAGGCCTTGTTATGTGACTTGCATTCATTTTGCGGTATTTATGTTCTTTAACATTACTTCATTTGGGTTTCATCACCAAAGAAAACCACTGAACCATGATTATGAGATTTCTTTTTGAACATTTGAAACTGATGCTTTTCAAATTTTTGTCAGATGCTGAAAGAAAAAGTTCAGCCTTAGGAGATTCTGTTTAGAAAACCAGACTGTGGAGGGAAATACATTTTCCATTTGTCTGTGCTGCCACTTACCACCCACTAGCTGAGAATTTGTATTCTAGGTGAGTGATATTGTAAATAGTGTTCTGCATCACTTCCTCTTCTCCAATGTTTGTAACTCATCTAATCTGTATTACATGTTATAGTGTCCTTTTGTCAACAAATGGAGTGTCTTTTGCTCAATTCAGAAAGCCATCACAAATTGGCAGTGAAGCTCCCTTGATACTAGCTCTGGGTAGTGGGCATCAGTGGCCTGGTTCTTGGCATTGTGTTGCAGCGCCAAGCTTTAAGGTTAGCAGCATCTCTCCACTCTTGGCCAAGCTCCCTTGGCATCTTTCTGGGGATCTTCCAGAACTTTCCATTGTTTGTTTGGCACTCTTCTGCAGGTCTCTGCCAGTTTCCGTAGGCCTCTTCTGCCCTTGCTTCTGCACTGTTTCGCTGTTCTCTAGAGCTGTTCAGCAGCCCTCTGGTTGCCAGTCGTTCTTAGGGTTAGTACCCCATAGTGTTGTCAGTTCTGAATGCAACCTGTTTGGCCCACATTACCTGAGATAAAAAGGGGGCAGTTGGACCACTCAAGGGAGGCTTGGAGCGCAGGAGGGAAGTGCACAGGAGACAGCCCTCCTGGACTGACTGGAGGAAGATGAAAGAATGCTGCTTATGCAGAGAAAGGTCAGTCTATACATACAGTCTTCTCTACTTCATGGACCTATTTGGGGACTTGTTGAAGCAGTGACAGAGGGAGGCTCATTTGAAGTGACAACATGGCAGAGTCTTTGGGGATAGGTGCATATCTACGGCCTGCTGCAGCCACAGCAAGTGTCTCTTGAGTGGCCGTGGGGCACCAAGGACAGCCTCAGCTGTCCTGGAGACAATTAGGCTGAACAGGGAGGAGCCGCCACTTGATTGACAGCTCCTGTTGCTTCCAGGAAATGATGCACTTGGGGCTGCAGCCCTGGTCCTTCCTGAGCTTTGCTATGGCAGCGCCTGAGCAGCCTGGCCCCAGGGCAGGGTGTGGTGGCTGCCATCTCTGGTCAGGGCTGCACGGATTACAGGGTGTAGAGGGTGACTGAGGTGACCCCGGAGCTGGCAGGAAGATGGTGGAGCGAGTCATCCTGGAATGCTACCAGGCCCAAGAGAGTGATGGCTATCAGTGGGATCCTGTGCCCTTCTGGCTGTCAAAGGGAGAGGGAAAGAGTTGGCTCCCATCTTCCTGTTTTACTTTGTAAAAATGTATATTGTCAAGGCTGGAAAAGCTTTGAAAAAATTGATATCTTTAATCACTGGAAATCTATGAGTGCAGTGGGTTTTCTTTCCTTTCCAGGAATGCTTCTTTTTTTTCTGTTATTGCCACAAATATATTTCGGTCATGAAGTGTAGGTTTTCTCAGAAGATATGTTTCTTTTCCAAAGGATTTTCCATGTTCTAGGATTCAGTGAAGGCTCTGATATCCCTGATGTCTTAAATACATCTGACTTTGGCCCCAGAAAAACACTGAAGACAAAACCAACACTTGAAAATTCTTAACTCTGATTGTTTCTATTTATCCTGTTATTTCTTCTAGTCCCTGGAAGGAATTTTTGATTGAGTTGTGTTTTTCTGCTTCAAAACCATTCTGATAATTTCTTTTTCTTCCAAGTAGTTTTGTATTTTATGAGCATGGACTCAGGAATTCACAGTGGTCTTTTTCTTAAGGAGCACATGAGGTGATTTGGCTTCCCGAAGGACCGGTAGAATCCGTGAAGTGTTTCAAATTTCAAATTTTGTGCTGAAAATGAAAACTTTATTGATATTTTAGTTTCAGCTTTTTCTAGTTTCCACACTCCAGTTTGCATAAATTAGCATCAGGTGTGTTACATTGGGTGTCATAAATGGAAAATCCATTCTTTCTAATTATTAGGATGCTCAGATATTTAATTCAATTTTTTTCTCTTGGAAGTGTTGTGTTTTTCTAATCTTCTAGGAATCACCCCAGATAGAATTATTATGAACAAGTAAGAAATCAAATTAACACTGAGAACATGAAATTTAAAAACATAATTGTTCATAATGGAACTCATTAAAAAACAGAAGCTGTATTTCAGGAATTTCTTGGTTTTCCTCTTCATAATTATTGACCTACTTGCAGTATAAAACGAGTTGAAATCTAGCATTGGTGGGAAAGAATTTCAGTTATTTCTAGCAATTCCCTCGCTCCCTTAATGGACTCCTATGGGAAGATCTTTTAAGACATGTAGCAGGCTTATTTTGCTAACACTTTCTCTAATTCTAGCTCCATAGCATGGACGTTTCCTCTCCCCATTGGTAAAACAGGGAACCTGAGTTCCAGCTCTGTCCCTTGTTGTTGGTCTGTAACTTCTTGTCACTTACAGAAAACAATGATTTTAGGGGCTCCTGTTGTTTTTAAAAGATTTCTTGTCCTTTGGTGATATATGTCAACTCACACTGTATGTTTTCTAAATAAATAACACTATGGGTAAATATTGCAGTTGAAGAGATAGTACTTTATTTGAAAAAAAAAATATCTTCTACTTTCTTTAAAAAAAGAAGTTAAAGACTGCTCCTGAGTTGGGCCTAGGGGCACATGCGTGTAATCTCAGGGACTCCGGATGCTGAGGCAGGAGAGCTGCAAATTTGAGTTCAGTGGAGGCAACTTTTAATCTTTTAAATTTTAATTTATATTGGTACATGACTTCAGTGTGTGATTACATTCCTCGTGGGGGGTTGGTGCGCACACATAACGTACCCTAATTCCTTTCTCATTCCCTTTCCCTCCCCTCCCTCCCTCTCCCCCTCCCTCAGAGCTGGGAATAGAGTTCTGTGGTAAGAGTGTTGGCCTAGTGCCAGTGAGGTCCTGGGTTTGATTTTAAATAAAACGATGCTTTCTGAGTGAAAACTCACCCACAGATTCAATTTTTGCAGTTTTGTTTTTTCAAATCTTATCTATCTATCTATCTATCTATCTATATAATTTTATGTATTTAGTGTAGGATCTACAGGGTCTTACTACATAGATCAGATTCATAGTGATTCTCCTATTTTCAGTCTCCCAGGCACTGGGATTGTAGGCACACGCCACCATGCCCAGTCTCAGTAGCTGTCTCAGCGCACCTCAGGGGCAGGGCCAGCACTGCACACTGTGGATCAAACCCCAGTCCTTGGAAGGTGCTTTAATCTGCTAAGCTATCTGGCTGGCCCCTTGTTATCTTTTTAAAGAGAGAAGTAATATTAAAAAGCATATATTAACATAAAATTATTTTGTATTTCAGAACATATGTGCATGCATACCTAGATGTATGAATGTGTTTGCATTTCTGCAACAATTGATTTAGGAAGGTATTTTAAGACAAAAAGTGCATTTGATTATCTCATATTTAAATTCACTGTACATAAATTAGCATATAGAATAGTCTTCTCTCCTGTGGTTTGGAATTGTTTAGGTTGTCATTACTGTTCTCTGATAGTTACTAATAAGAAATATAACTATGCGTAACATCATACACCTGGCTTCACTTTTGGTTTCATGGTCTACAGTGCTTTGATCCTGAAATCCCAGAACATTTCAGAGGTTTGAAGCAGCAGGAACTGGAGCCCAGGGGGGCCCTTTCCCTGTACATGCAAGCTGCAGGTCAGAGACTGACATGCGAAGCTGCACAGAAGGGCAACGCCCTTGCTTCTCCGGAACTCCTGTGCACAGAAACGTGCTCTGGGGACAGCACCTTTCATGGCGTCTGTATTGTAGAAAGGCGAAGTGGAAGGCCCGTGCACACATATGCCCTCGAGGTTACAGCCATGCTTTCTTTTTTTTTTTTTTTTAAAGTGAATATACAATTTATTTAACATTCAAACTTCATTAAGACATGTGCAATATGGCAATTTTACTGGGGATTTAACCCTACCTAGGATATGATTGCTTGCTGGGGCTTAGCAACAGGGTCCAGTTCACACTTAGCACTAATTAAATAGTTATTGAATAAATACAATACCAAAACAAAATGCATTCAAATACTTTTCTTTTAAAAAAATTCAATTTTAAAGGCCTTTCTAATCAGGCTAAAGACAAACACAATAAAAGTAGATATGCTAGTTTAACATAATTGGCTGATTTTATACAGCACTTGTATCTTTTAGTACACAAGTATATTATTAAATGGTAGAGAACATCTAATACAACCATTTCTACAGAACTAGGAAATAAATTTCTAAGAAAGAAAGATTTTACAGACCCCATCTTTTATACCCACCCCAACAGTCTACTCTAAAGAGGATAAAGCCAGTGACTTTCCTCACAAGAGCTCACGACTAATGTCGCTTTGCTATCAAAATCTGTATTTCTGATCCGTTATGAGCATTGAGACAAGACTCAAAAATTCCCAAAGAAGCACAGTGCATGCTGTGACTGCCTGTTCAGCACTGGCGAGCACTGCATTCAAAACTATCTCATCCCAGGAATTAAATAAGGTCAGCCACATTCATGGGCATTTCCTCGACGGTAGTATTGTAGAAAGTCTCAATGTCATGAAGAATCCTCTTGTCTTCCTCCGTAACAAAGTTTATAGCCACACCTTTCCTCCCAAATCGACCCCCTCTGCCAATTCTGTGAATATAGTTTTCACGATTGGTAGGTAGATCATAGTTTATAACCAAAGACACTTGTTGCACATCAATTCCACGAGCCAACAAGTCAGTAGTGATCAGAACATGGCTTGACCCCGATCGGAATTCCCTCATGATAACATCTCTCTCCTTCTGATCCATATCGCCATGCAGAGCAGAAACAGCGAAGTCTCTGGCATGCATTTTCTCAGTGAGCCAGTCCACCTTGTGCCTTGTATTAAGAAAGATAACTGCCTGCGTAATGGTGAGTGTCTCATACAAATCACAAAGTGTGTCCAACTTCCATTCCTCTCTTTCAACATTAATATAAAACTGCTTGATTCCTTCCAGGGTCAATTCTTCCTTCTTCACCAGAATCCGAATTGGATCTCTCATGAATTTTTTGGTCCACTCCAACACATCAGTGGGCATCGTGGCAGAAAGCAACACAACCTGAATACTTGTATTTAGTTTTTGGAAAATCTCATAAATTTGATCCTTAAACCCTTGGCTCAACATTTCATCTGCTTCAACCAAAACAAACATTTTGATCCATTTTGGAGAAAGGTATCTTCTGTTTAACATATGAAACACTCTCCCTGGGGTACCAACAACAATATGTGGTGCTTCATCCTGCAGCTTCTGCATTTCATTTCGAACATTTGTTCCACCAATGCAGGCATGACAAGTTGCTCCCATATAATCTCCAAGTGCCAGAATTACCTTTTGGATCTTTGATACAAGGAATAATAGCTCTTTGCTGAATAGCTGAAGGCTTCTCAAAACCATAAGCATAGATGCCCCGAAGAAGAGACTCCTTTAAGTTCATATCATCAAAGTTATCAGCAATCTCATTCCAGTTGCTCTCGATGACACCATCGGGGTCCATTCCCTCTGGGCCTACATGTTCTGTTATAGTCCACAGAAACACCAGACATGATCCGAAGAACCGCTCAGCGCCTGACTGAAAAGCCAGCCATGCTTTCTTGAAGGATGTCAAAGGCTTTCACAACAGCAAAAAGCTACTGACATGCGCTAGATGGCTAGGCCAACGAGATAACCCCAATCCTACCCCGCCTTACCCAAGGCATGCACTTAGCATGAATTTCTCCCCTGCCTTTGATACCCAGAGGTCAACAACTTAAAATAAGAAAATTTTGTGGACATGAATGATACAGGAATATGGAGAAAACACAGTACAGTGCGGTTTCACTTTAGGAGAGTGCTGCATTGCCAAAGACTTGGCAAAATTTAAAGCCTGCATAGTTCATCTAATTGCTCCCATAGGATTAAAAGGATATTTACTAGCAAAGTGTATAAGGCGTATGCCAATAGAATAAATATAGTTGGTAATTCATTCATCCCTCCTCCTGTTTAAAACCATAAATTTTCAAGATTAAAAAGTAGATTGACTGTATTTCTAATTTGGGCTGAAAGTGAAACTTTATTTATATTTTAACTTTAACCTTTTGAAGTTAACACAGTTCCCACTTGCTTATTAGGTATGTTATAGTGGGTGTGGTACCTGGAAAATTTATTTCTTCCAATTGTTAGGATGCTCAATTTTTAAATTAAATTTCTTTTCTTGTAAGATACCAGGCACTGGTAAGAGCTGCAGGCACTGGTGGTGCATCTCTATAATCCCAGCATTTTGATGCAGCATTCTGTGGAAAGCTCTTAACATTTGAAGACGATGTGAGGGCCAGTATATTGAGACATTCATTTTGATTCTTGACTCACATTTTCTAGTCCCTAACTGAAAGTGAAAGAGTCTAAGTTCCCTGTCAGTCAAAATGTGTGTAAAACCTCATGTGAGTTATGCTGATACTTAGATACGCTATGTCTTTTTCTTTTGCGTTTGAGAAATTTGAGTTTTATGGATACTATGATTTATCCTAAATCAAAATTTGGCTGTTAGGTTGTTTTGGCCTTTAGGCTGTAAAGTTTCTTTATATAACAAATAACATGTTTTGTTTTTAAATTAAAAGCACCATTGACTCTTTTGGATTACTTCAGAAGCATGACGTCTTACTGGGAATACATATGGGAAAAAATTAAGGCCTCATGGATCAAAGGTCTCATGGCTGAGCAAAACAGCCACAGAGCTTGGGTCTCATCTCCTTTCCTCGGACCCTTTATTTATTTACTATATTTTAGAGAAGCGTCTACAGGGTGTTCTGGGTCTCACTACTAGATCGGACTCATAGTGATCTACCTTTTACAGCCTCCCAACAGCTGGGATTACAGGTGTGTGCCACCACGCCCAGTCTCAGTTGCCCTTCTGGTGTGCCCCGGGGGGTGGGGCTGATGCAGCAGGTCCAGGGATAGGAACCCTGGCCCCTGAGCCTGCTTGCAGGTGCTTTCATCCACTGAGCTATTTGGCCAGCCCCTGCTCTGACCCTTTTGAACCTCTCTTATGATTACATCAGCCAAGCAAAACTCAGCACAGGCTGTGCTCAGCAGCTGTGATCAGTCATTGCGTTGTCAGCTTGGCTGTGCTGTGCTGCTTGAGTTTTGGTCAAAACCCTAGTGTAGCTTTTGCTGTGCAGGAACTTTTAAAAATGTAGTTAACATGCAAATTGTTGGGCTGTGAGTAAAGGAGATTGCCCACTATACCATGAATGGCCTTATAAATCAGTGCAACGCCTCAGATCTCTCGAGGAAGAAAGGAGCTCTGTCTCTAGACTGCCTAGGACTTAGGACTTCAGTGTCAGCTCTGATTAGAAATTCCAGCAGGCTTCAGACTCGCCAGTCCCACAATCATATGTTTTTGTTTGTTTGTTTATGTATTTGGTACAGGGTCTCACCACACAGACTCATAGTGATCCTCCTGTTTTCAGCCGCCCCAGCCGTGCACCACCACACCTGGACTCTGTTGTTGGGCAGAGTGCCCTGGGGGCGGGGCCCCCACAATCATATGAACCAACTCTTAAAAATAGCTATCCAATGTATGAATATCCATTATATGAAAATATATTTAAATATAAAGACGTTTTAAGGGGTATTTTATATGCACATGTACTATATTTATTAAGGAGTGAATACACACAGGCACATATACACATACTATTGGTTCTGCATCTCTGGAGAATCTGACATGTACCAATACGACCAGTATATTATTATTTTACAAAATAGTTTTTCAGTGACAAAAAAGTAATACCCCTAAATCGACCAAATATATTTTTATAGTCTATAAAGATATCCATATACATGGATTTATTTTATTGTATTTTATTTTATTTGTTTTTAGGACCTACCCCTCTTCTCAGGAGCCTAAAGCTTCCCAGCTCTATTGTTTTATTAATATGTAGAAAAATGCAATTTCCTTTGCTTCCCCAACACAAGTCCATCTTCTCAAGTGGTCTTTCATCAGAGCAATGACCTCTAAAATCACAGGAAAATGTGAAGACGGGAAAATGTGTGTTTGGTATCATGTTCCGGATTCCATTGTACAGTATTAAGAACAAGACCAAACCAAGGTGCAGACTCAGGAAGGAAGGAAAAGCTGCGCTGGAGTTCATAGAGCTGTGAAGCACGCGGGTGGCCGGGGTGAGGTGGAGTGAAGCCCGGTGTGCTGTAGGCTTGTCTTGGTAGCCCTGTTTCATTCGACTGTGATCTCTCCTCTCAGTGTGCGGCCTGTCATAGAGTATTGATTACTTACGGGCTCTTTGGGAATATCTGGCATGTGTTGGCTCTAGCGTACTCTCAGTAAATTTTAGTAACTTCAAATCAGAAGATATGACTAGTTTTGCTTTATTTTGTGTAGCGCTCAAGGGCCATTAATTGCACAGTGAAATTTGGATACAGATACCCCTAGCCAGGCACAACAGCATTTACCTATAATCCCAGCACTCTGGGATTATTTAGTTAGCTTGGGCAATTTACTGACTCAGTGAGAGCTTGTGTCAAACTTTTAAAAAAATTAAAAGCTGAAAATGTTGGGACATAGCTCAGTGTGAAGGTCCTGGGTTCAAGAAAGAGAGTTATTCAGTCTAATCCTCTTCCAACTCATGCAGATATGTGACGTGTCTCCTTTTAGCGCTCAGTCCCTAAGGGAGGACTGGAATCCAAGCCCTGGTCCTTAACCACAGCCCTGGCTTCTCTTTCTTCTTTAAGAAGCTCACTGTGTGTTCTCAGCACTACTCCTGAAGCATAACACTCAGTGAAACAAATGCAGTCTCTCAGGCCCTATCATAGGATGGGCTAACATTTAGAGGGTGAAGGCCAGGTGCTGGATTGTGCAGGAGGGTTCTCGTCTCTACTGCTAATGAAGTGACCACAGGGGCCATCCACTGACTCTTGGCTATATCACCAACACTGCACCAAGTGGGTTCCTTGCACAATCCCATTCCATCTTCACAACAATGGAAAGTCTCTTATTTCTAATGTACAGATTAAAAATTGAGATTTGAAGTCTTGCCCTAAATTCATGCCCATAGAGCTGTACTTGAAGCACAGGCATGGTCTTAGCTGCTAAGCCCAGTGAGCAGTTCCAGCCTGATTGATG